TAGACTATAGACTAGACTATAGACTAGACTATAGACTAGACTATAGACTAGACTATAGACTAGACTATAGACTAGACTATAGACTAGACTATAGACTAGACTATAGACTAGACTATAGACTAGACTATAGACTAGACTATAGACTAGACTACAGACTAGACTATAGACTAGACTATAGACTAGACTATAGACTAGACTATAGACTAGACTATAGACTAGACTATAGACTAGACTATAGACTATAGACTAGACTATAGACTAGACTATAGACTAGACTAGACTAGACTATAGACTAGACTATAGACTAGACTATAGACTAGACTATAGACTAGACTATAGACTAGACTATAGACTAGACTATAGACTAGACTATAGACTAGACTATAGACTAGACTATAGACTAGACTATAGACTAGACTATAGACTAGACTATAGACTAGACTATAGACTAGACTATAGACTAGACTATAGACTAGACTATAGACTAGACTATAGACTAGACTATAGACTAGACTATAGACTAGACTATAGACTAGACTATAGACTAGACTATAGACTAGACTATAGACTAGACTATAGACTAGACTATAGACTAGACTATAGACTAGACTAGACTAGACTATAGACTAGACTATAGACTAGACTATAGACTAGACTATAGACTAGACTATAGACTAGACTATAAGACTATAGACTAGACTATAGACTAGGACTATACTAGACTATAGACTACACTATAGACTAGACTATAGACAGGACTATAGAGTAGACTATAGACAGGACTACAGCGTAGACTATAGACTAGACTGTAGACTTGACTGTAGACTAGACTATAGACTAGACTATAGACTAGACTGTAGACTAGACTATAGACTAGACTATAGACTAGACTATAGACTTGACTATAGACTAGACTATAGACTTGACTATAGACTAGACTATAGACTAGACTATAGACTAGACTATAGACTAGACTAGACTAGACTATAGACTTGACTATAAATAGACTAGAATATAGACTACACTATAGACTACACTATAGACTACACTATAGACTACACTATAGACTACACTATAGACTACACTATAGACTACACTATAGACTACACTATAGACCACACTATAGTCTACACTATAGACTAGTCTAGTCTAAAGTACAGACTAGAGTCCAGTCTGTAGTCCGGAATATTGTCAAGACTATAGTCCAACATATAATGCATTATATTGACCAGTCTATAGTCCAGAAAAGTGTAGTTCTTAATTTACTTCTTACCCATTATGAGTCATTAGCTCAGCATTCGAACGATCACCATAATGTATGAAAACCTGTTCGCCCTGCTTAAAGTCCTCCTGAGCTTTGCTCTCCATCTCTTGAGTGTCCACATTAAAGAACGAGGTTATAGTACCATTGCGATGATTAGCCATATCCCAGAAGGGTATAAGAGCAGCAATAGTAGAAGGTGTTTCCTCTCCCGGCAAGGGTTTGGAGCGGGGTATCAAATTTTCACGAGTCATAACAGTAGAAACGGCCCATCTAAAAAAAAAGATGAAAAATAAATTAAAATTCTAAATTAAAAAGTTTAGTAATTTAAAATTAATAGCAGAAATTCCTTGAGGATTAAGGAGAGGTTATCGACAACTTTAGTCTATGAACAAGTTTTATTCAATTTAAAGTTTTTCTTTAGTTTTTAAACAAACCTAAAACTATGTTTTAATTTTAATGGTTTTCCACATGAATGGACAGTTTTATGTTTTTTCTTTTGCCGCATAAAGCGGCATCAGCAAACATCAGCCTCAAACTCATCACTATGATGACTATGATTCTTATCAAATATTAAAAGTCATAACGATAAAAAAAGAACCTGCTTTAACACAACCACAACAAATGTTTAAACTTTGCCTTGGTCTTAATAGCAAAAATACCAAAAGCTAGTTGCCACTAGCCAGCCTTTAAAAGCCTGAATAGGAACATCATGATTATGTTGTCTATTTGCAACATGTTTCCTTTTAAGTTTGTAGAAAATCAACAGTCAAGAATCGTTAGGTTTTTGCTGGAAAACACCAACCAACAAATTAAAAGCAACAGCAACAAACATCCTACTAAAGTTTAATCTTTTAAACCACAAAATTTTAATTTAAAAATTACATAACTATAGACTTGACAATAGACTAGACTATAGACTAGACAATAGACTAGACTATAGACTAGACTATAGATTAGACTATAGACTAGAGTATAGACTAGACTATAGACTAGACTATAGACTAGACTATAGACTAGACTATAGACTAGACTATAGACTAGACTATAGACTAGACTATAGACTAGACTATAGACTAGACTATAGACTAGACTATAGACTAGACTATAGACTAGACTATAGACTAGACTATAGACTAGACTATAGACTAGACTATAGACTAGACTATAGACTAGACTATAGACTAGACTATAGACTAGACTATAGACTAGACTATAGACTAGACTATAGACTAGACTATAGACTAGACTATAGACTAGACTATAGCCTAGACTATAGACTAGACTATAGACTAGACTATAGACTAGACTATAGACTAGACTATAGACTAGACTATAGACTAGACTATAGACTAGACTATAGACTAGACTATAGACTAGACTATAGACTAGACTATAGACTAGACTATAGACTAGACTATAGACTAGACTATAGACTAGGACTATAGACTAGACTATAGACTAGACTATAGACTAGACTATAGACTAGACTATAGACTAGGACTATAGACTAGACTATAGACTAGACTATAGACTAGACTATAGACTAGACTATAGACTAGACTATAGACTAGACTATAGACTAGACTATAGACTAGACTATAGACTAGACTATAGACTAGACTATAGACTAGACTATAGACTAGACTATAGACTAGGACTATAGACTAGACTATAGACTAGACACTAGACTAGACTATAGACTAGACTATAGACTAGACTATAGACTAGACTATAGACTAGACTATAGACTAGGACTATAGACTAGACTATAGACTAGACTATAGACTAGACTATAGACTAGACTATAGACTAGACTATAGACTAGACTATAGACTAGACTATAGACTAGACTATAGACTAGACTATAGACTAGACTATAGACTAGACTATAGACTAGACTATAGACTAGACTATAGACTAGACTATAGACTAGATGTGGCAGATTATTCTTTTATTATTGAATTAATAATAGAAACAATTGAAACGAAATAAATTGCTTGGTCAGAATAGTTTTGTCCCACTGTAGTATATTTTTATATGAAATGTTAACATTTATTAAAACTAACAACTTCCTTCTTAAATACAAAGGAATTAACAAAATTGTGGACAATTGCCTTTATCTAATACAACAATCATTGAAAATTGTTCTCCATAACAAAAAAAAAAAAAAAAACTCACATATTAAAACAAAACTCTTCGAAAAAGAAAAATCTAAAATTAACCCCTTTAGCGAAAATCTAAACATATAAAAAATGGCAAGACAGCAAACAATTTTATGTTATGCCACTATGTAAAGTTTAAAAGTAGTAAAGTATACAACATTGGAATGATCATTTAAACGATTACATTTTAATAAAGTTATCGAATTTTTGGTGTCCATCTCTCAGACTACGAGGCTGAGAACGATCTTTGCTCTTTCCTTTCTTAATTTTGATCTTCATCGATTTACATCGTTTGTTTTAACCTACGCTTAATAATAAGTGAAATTTACAAATATATTTAAAAATTTAAAGAAATAATCAATTGATAAATAAAAGTATTTTTTTAAATAATTTTTAAAATTTTAATTGAGATGAAATAGTTCAAATCCCATTGAAATTTTGCTGAACTAATAAAATTTTAAGTAGCGGAGGTATTAATTAACTTTATTATAAATATTCTACTATTTTAAAGAATTGAGAAAAAACCCAATGAACTATTGGTAAGAATATTAAAATTTTATAAAACGTATGTATCTTATTAAATATAAATAACATCTTATTATAGGGTTTTAATTTTTATCATTAATTGCAAAAAAGGTGTACATAAATAATAGCAGAACTTATGTACCCAGTTTAACGCTCGCTTATATTGACATGACAAATTAAATAAATCTTTTAAACAAAACTTCCAAGATGTCGGATGTAAAAACATGAAAGTGGCCAAAATTTTTAAGCAAAGTACATGAATCAACCTAAATTTATAAAGTTTTCATCATAACCGACAGTTTTCAGCAGTTCCAAAATACCATTTATATCTAAATAATATCATCTAAATAATTTCAATTTAAACATTAAAATTTACAATACCCTTCATCAAAATAAATCACGATGCACGTAATTTAATAGTTGGCACTGTAAGATGTATAAGTGGAAGAGGAAGAATAATTAAAACGACAAAAGAGTACTGTTTTGTGACGTCATCAGATTATGATAAATTGATGAGTATTGATAATGTTAATCTTAATTCAAAAATGTTAATAACATAGATTTGATTATAGTAGCTTAAACTTGAAATTAATGTAATGAATACATTTTGAGAAAGCTTTTTGTTTTTTTTTAACATTACTTATTTGTGCATATAGAGTTTTTTTTTTATATTACAAAAATTGTGTAACATTTTTATATCATGAAAGATAATAATTTTTATAATTCATATGTACAAAGTAATGATGATTCTTTCTAATTTAATTTTTATTAATAATGAAAACTATTTTTTTAAATTTTATTATTAATACTATTATTATTTCATATACTCTAATTTTGATTTCATGAAAATAGTAACTTTTTATAATATAAAACAATTAGAGTATATACAATAATTTTATTAAATTCTAAAATAACTTGAACTAAATATTTTGTATCTATATTAGCATGTATATATATAATGTTTAGTATCGAAAGATACTAGATTATTTGTATATTATTATATATATTTTTTTATAGTCTTGCTAATTATGAATCTAATTCACAGCTTTACCGGTGATTTGAGCTCAAACCATCTACAGCATAAGTAAAGACACCAAAAGGTTATTTCATTGGAAAGTAAACCAGGATTTAAAACAGTGAGTCAGTACATATAATAATATACAATATCATTTTTTTTATATATACATGCAGTCGTATTTAAATATCCTTTTTATATTAAATTACATATACACGTAAATGAATGTTCGTTTATTTTCGTTTTTATATTTTACGTATATAAGATCATATGAAAATTTATTTAATAAATCGTAATTTTAAGAATGTGGAAATTTGAGTAGTTATATTATTAATGGGAATGTTGATATTTAGGCAAAAGTGTAAAATTTAGGAAATACTATGGGAAGATATGAACAAGAACTATTTGGAACACTGGTGTATCTTATGTGATGAAGGGAGGGATTAATTGGAACAGTGTTCATATTGATAAAACATCATTCAATTTTTAAATCCTGTAATAATTTTTTTAAATCCATTTAGTTTCAATAGCAAATCTTAATATAACCATTTTGTTTAATCTTCATTAGTCTTGGAAAGAATAACTTAATATTCTGTTATGTTGTATACCTCATTTTATATGGTCAAGGACCTCCCCAACCCGACGAGCTTAGCCTTTCAAGCTTTCCAAGCATCGACCATTATTAATGAAAAAACAAAAAAAAAACAAGAGAATATAGCTTTCAATGAAACAATCATGCAACGCAACATAGACTATAGACTAGACTATAGACTAGACAATAGACTACACTATAGACTAGACTATAGACTAGACTATACACTAGACTATACACTAGACTATACACTAGACTATACACTAGACTATACACTAGACTATACACTAGACCATACACTAGACTATACACTAGACTATACACTAGACTATACACTAGACTATACACTAAACTATACACTAGACTATACACTAGACTATACTATAGACTATACTATAAACTAGACTATAGACTAAATTATATTTTTGTTTTCAATTAAGAGAAATATTTAAAAGTCTATAAATTGTTCTACAGTACGTATGATTAATATTAATTCACAAGTTATGTTGATAAAATCTTCATAATTTGTTTAATTCTTAAGACATTTCTTTAACTAATAGTGGAAATAAAAGCTTAGATTTCCAGCTATTAAAAAAATAATAAACTACCTTCGACGTCTTCACTAAATTTAAATTACAAAGAAATGAATTCAACATCTCGCTTTTCTAAAATTTTTCTTTAAAGAATTCTCAAAATGCCTTAGCATCTTCTATTCTTATCATTTTCTTTTAAACATTTTCAGTCTTTTCTTCTATGCTCTCATTCAAATATGCAGGATTTCTTGTTTGTTTTCCTTCAATGTAGGTCACTTTAGTTTTTTATAAGATTTAATATAATATTACTCGCTATTATTCGCAGATAACAAAAGCCCAAGGTTTTGTTGGTTTGTCTTGATTGTGTGTGAGTCTTTTAAGACTCGGGCTGTGTTTGTCTAAGAAAATATGATGAAAGTTTTGTTGAGTTTTGTTTGAAATGGAAAAATGTCTTAAAACAATTAAAAAACATTAACTTTTCCTATTACACTTGGGCACTTGTTTGCTGCATATTTGTAGTTGCTATAGAAGAAAAGTAAATGTTTGTAGTTTTTGGTGCTGAAATTAAATTACGCTGAAAATTTTTGCAATTATCCTTATGTAGGCAAATAAGAATTTTTGTTAGAAAATCATTTATGAAAATGAGAGTAATATAAAAAAGGCATTTTTGCTCAAAACATTTAAAGTCTAAAAATTCCTACATTTGTAAATTCTTCTTAAAGTTTAAGAGGGATTTTGTACTCTTTATAAAATCAAAATCTTTAAGACTTCATGTAATTATTCGCATAAATTCCATTAAATTTTTTATCAAATCTTTCAAAAGTTTTTTGAAAAAAACTTTTAGTTGTTGCATTTTTAGAAGACTTTTCTTTAGTATTCACTCATCTACATGCATAAGTTTTGGTAGGCAGTCGCGATAAATTAATTTTCTTAAGACAATATGAAAATAATTAAAAGCTTGAGAAGAAATTTTTCTACAATTAAAATAGTTTGTTAAAACATTTAATATTAAGATAAAATTCTAATTTCATAAAGAAAACAACTAAATTTAAATTTTCTTTTACAAAAACCTATCAAAAATTAGCCAAGTTGTAGACAAATTTCCTAACCAACCCTAAAATTAATATTAATCATACGAACCGATGGACCATTACAAGATTTTTAAATATTACTCTTAACTTTAAGCAAAAATGAGTTTAGTCTAGTTTATTGTCTAATATAGTATAGTCTATAGTATAGTCTATAGTCTAGTCTATAGTCTAGTCTATAGTCTAGTCTATAGTCTAGTCTATAGTCTAGTCTATAGTCTAGTCTATAGTCTAGTCTATAGTCTAGTCTATAGTCTAGTCTATAGTCTAGTCTATAGTCTAGTCTATAGTCTAGTCTATAGTCTAGTCTATAGTCTAGTCTATAGTCTAGTCTATAGTCTAGTCTATAGTCTAGTCTATAGTCTAGTCTATAGTCTAGTCTATAGTCTAGTCTATAGTCTAGTCTATAGTCTAGTCTATAGTCTAGTCTATAGTCTAGTCTATAGTCTAGTCTATAGTCTAGTCTATAGTCTAGTCTATAGTCTAGTCTATAGTCTAGTCTATAGTCTAGTCTATAGTCTAGTCTATTTTTTAGTCTAGTCTATAGTCTAGTCTATAGTCTAGTCTATAGTCTCGTCTATGTCTAGTCTATAGTCTAGTCTATAGTCTAGTCTATAGTCTAGTCTATAGTCTAGTCTATAGTCTAGTCTATAGTCTAGTCTATAGTCTAGTCTATAGTCTAGTCTATAGTCTAGTCTATAGTCTCGTCTATAGTCTAGTCTATAGTCTAGTCTATAGTCTAGTCTATAGTCTAGTCTATAGTCTAGTCTATAGTCTAGTCTATAGTCTAGTCTATAGTTAGTCTATAGTCTAGTTCTATAGTCTAGTCTATAGTATAGTCTATAGTCTAGTCTAAGTTAGTCTATAGTTATCTATAGTTTAGTCTATAGTCTAGTCTCTAGTCTAGTCTATAGTCTAGTCTATAGTTAGTCTATAGTCTAGTCTATAGTCTAGTCTATAGTCTAGTCTATAGTCTAGTCTATAGTCTAGTCTATAGTCTAGTCCTAGTCTATAGTCTAGTCTATAGTCTAGTCTATAGTCTAGTCTATAGTCTAGTCTATAGTCTAGTCTATAGTCTAGTCTATAGTCTAGTCTATAGTCTAGTCTATAGTCTAGTCTATAGTCTAGTCTATAGTCTAGTCTATAGTCTAGTCTATAGTCTAGTCTATAGTCTAGTCTATAGTCTAGTCTATAGTCTAGTCTATAGTCTCTATAGTCTAGTCTATAGTCTAGTCTATAGTCTAGTCTATAGTCTAGTCTATAGTCTAGTCTATAGTCTAGTCTATAGTCTAGTCTATAGTCTAGTCTATAGTCTAGTCTATAGTCTAGTCTATAGTCTAGTCTATAGTCTAGTCTATAGTCTAGTCTATAGTCTAGTCTATAGTCTAGTCTATAGTCTAGTCTATAGTCTAGTCTATAGTCTAGTCTATAGTCTAGTCTATAGTCTAGTCTATAGTCTAGTCTATAGTCTAGTCTATAGTCTAGTCTATAGTCTAGTCTATAGTCTAGTCTATAGTCTAGTCTATAGTATGTCTATAGTCTAGTCTATAGTCTAGTCTATAGTCTAGTCTATAGTCTAGTCTATAGTCTAGTCTATAGTCTAGTCTATAGTCTAGTCTATAGTCTAGTCTATAGTCTAGTCTATAGTCTAGTCTATAGTCTAGTCTATAGTCTAGTCTATAGTCTAGTCTATAGTCTAGTCATAGTCTAGTCTATAGTCTAGTCTATAGTCTAGTCCTATAGTCTAGTCTATAGTCTAGTCTATAGTCTAGTCTATAGTCTAGTCTATAGTCTAGTCTATAGTCTAGTCTATAGTCTAGTCTATAGTCTAGTCTATAGTCTAGTCTATAGTCTAGTCTATAGTCTAGTCTATAGTCTAGTCTATAGTCTAGTCTATAGTCTAGTCTATAGTCTAGTCTATAGTCTAGTCTATAGTCTAGTCTATAGTCTATAGTCTAGTCTATATCTAGTCTATAGTCTAGTCTATAGTCTAGTCTATAGTCTAGTCTATAGTCTAGTCTATAGTCTAGTCTATAGTCTAGTCTATAGTCTAGTCTATAGTCTAGTCTATAGTCTAGTCTATAGTCTAGTCTATAGTCTAGTCTATAGTCTAGTCTATAGTCTAGTCTATAGTCTAGTCTATAGTCTAGTCTATAGTCTAGTCTATAGTTAGTCTATAGTCTAGTCTATAGTCTAGTCTATAGTCTAGTCTATAGTCTAGTCTATAGTCTAGTCTATAGTCTAGTCTATAGTCTAGTCTATAGTCTAGTCTATAGTCTAGTCTATAGTCTAGTCTATAGTCTAGTCTATAGTCTAGTCTATAGTCTAGTCTATAGTCTAGTCTATAGTCTAGTCTATAGTCTAGTCTATAGTCTAGTCTATAGTCTAGTCTATAGTCTAGTCTATAGTCTAGTCTATAGTCTAGTCTATAGTCTAGTCTATAGTCTAAGTAGTATATAGTCTATAGTGCTAGGTCTATCGTGTCAGTCTATAGTTTAGTTCCTATAGTCTAGTCTATAGTGTAGTCTATATGTAGTCTATAGTGTAGTCTATAGTGCTAGTCATAGGTAGTCTAAGTCTATAGTCTATAGTCTAGTATGTCTAGTCTATTAGTCTAGGTCTATAGTCTAGTCTATAGTCTAGTCTTTAGTCTAGTATGTTCTCATCTATTAGTCTAGTCCCATGGGGTCGGCAAACCATGGCTCCGGCGAGCCAAAATGCGTCTCGTTGGATGTGGAGCTGTGGCTCTTTAGTTTCATACACAAATTTGATTTATTTTATACAAAAATATTTGTATGCATATTTAAATCTTTCCGAATCGATATAACGAGCATGTATTAAACTAACAAAACACTTCGGCAAACGTTTGTACAATATACAAACTTTTAACTTTGCTGAATCGTTCTGT